CTCCTCTTCCTCAGACTAAACATTCCCAGCTCCTTCAAGCCGCCTTCATCAGATTGATTCTCCAGGCCCTTCACCAGCTTCCTTGCCCCCCTCTGTCCTCGCTCCAGCACCTCGAGATCTCTCTTGAATTGAGGTGCCCAAAACTGGACACAGCACTCCTCACCAGTGCTAGTACAGGGGGACAATCACCTCTCTACTTCTGCTGGTCACACTATGTCTAATACAAGCCAGGATGCCATTGGCTTTCTTGGCCACCTGGGCACACTGCTGGCTCATGTTCAGCTGCTTGTTAATCAGAACCTCTACTTCTATGGTTAAAAAAAATAAATAAATGAATAAATAAAATTAGGGCCAAAAAACATGTCCAGACTCCACACCCATAAGATCACACGTAGCACTGCAAATTCGATTTTATGTCTCAGTAATATTTTATCTCACTCTAGATTTTTAACAGCAAGTGAACACGCTCATGTTTGACAGAATAAGCAAAACATCAAGAATTTCAAGACAAAGTCGTTTTAAATGACTTTACTGTTAGGAATAAACTCTAAAGCCAAATTCCACATTGGATCACTACAGTGTCATCAGGTGCAATCTATCCCCAAATAAAAATTTACAACCTCAGCCACTAACCTACTATCTGCTCGAACAATCTGCTAAATTGCAACACAATTGAAGTAATCTTGCAGCTAAAGGAACTAAATGGAAAAAAATGTCACTTTAAGGATATGAAAAATCCATGCTGTAGAGAAACATTGAAAGCTGTTTAAAAATAATAAAAATTACTGTTTAAAAATAATAAAAATTAAACCTGATCATGGGTTTCTGGGGAGCTCTTCCTTCTTCTCTATAAAGTCTATGCATCACTACATGATTATTTTATCACATTTTCAGCACTCAATGTACCTTTTCTCTATTAATCCAAGAGCTTTTCCTCCCCAGACATTCAGAACAGATCAGATGGAGTTTCCAATCAAGTATTTGGGTGCCTGGCTCCCATGGACTTGTTTGGAAGTCTCAAGCTATGGACTTAGAGAGGTCTGTTTCTACCATGAACAGAGTCCTCAGCAGTATTTCAAATCAAAGAAGTGAAGAGGAGAAAGGTTGTAGCCATAGGCAGGATTAATGCTTTCACAGAACCATAGTATGCCAGGTTGTAAGGGACCTCAAGGATCATCTGGTCCAACTTTTCTAGGTACTACTATAGTGTATATGAGATGGCTCAGCACCCTGTCAAGCTGAGACCTTTCCTTCTGAGAAAGGGTACAGCAACAGGATTTCTGTGTCAAATCACAGCTCAATTCACTTGTAATTACTGGTTTTCTAACTAAAGACTGCTTAAGATGTATGTTAAGATTTATCAGCTGTTCTTGAATCCTGCTAGATAAGAAAACTTTCAAGTTCAGTTAAAATTTAACTCTAGCTTTTAACTACAGAAGGACACTTCAGCAAAATACATAAGTACCACAGCAGCTGAGTACAAAGCTACAGTCAGAGGTGACCTGGGCTTGCTGTTAGAATCTAGGAGGAAAGAGGAGACTATTATTATCTTTATGTCTTGACAGACAGTGTCCTATACACTTCTTTCATCTCGATGTGTAAGAGTAAAAACTACAAAAACATTCTGTTATTATTTATATATCCCATATTTGTTCTACAAGGGTTAAAGAATTGAAGGAATTAAAAGAGTGGAAATAAGGTATGATGATAAAAGAAGGAATGAAAATAGGCATGATAAACATGAAAGCCAAGCAGAAAAGGTTAAGAGTATATATATAACAGAAAAAGCTATAAAAAAAGCAGAGTTGCTAGGAAGGACAAAAAAAAAAGCAACCCCAGAATAACAAGCACCAACCAGAGATGAGGACAGAGTGCATTAAATTAAACAGCAACAGGAGGGGAAGAAACTTTTGACAATTTGGTGTCAGCCTTCACTTTAGCATCCATTCCTGATGCACATTACAACTAAATTGAGGCCTTCTGTCACTGGGAGTAAGCAACATCTATTATTCATTCCATGTTCTTGAGTTTTTTTCAATATGTTCCCAAATGTAATCAGATGTGCAGTAATCTCACTACATTTGTTATGTATAGAACAGTCAATAAAAATGCCTAAGAAACCTTATCTAATTATGCTGGAGGAAAGTTCTAATACCTACATGTTTTACACTGGTTTAAACCGTGCTTAAATCACTTTAGCATCATGTAAAAATTTCCTTCATTTAGCTAAACTTCCCCACGTCCGATTTAAACCAGTTCAAGATTTATCTGTCAGCTTCTTCCTCCAGTGAAATAACATTAATTCAAGTATGGCCAAAAAAAAAACAACGCAAAGTCCTATTGTAATGAGTTTATTAAAAGTGAGCCACAGATGAAACTACCTGAACCATCTTGTGCTAATCTCCACTAAAAACACTCTCCTCAGTCACCCCCTTTTGCAAAAATCTTCACTCCAGCCAGATAATTCTGTCCCACCCAAAGTGGTTACCAAAATCACTAAGGTCAGTCCTTTCCCAGGTGTAGGAGACAATGTTCATTTGCATGGACATGAAGGAACTAGGTCCTCAAAAGCACTTCCT